CTTCAACTCAGAACAACTCTGAAGGGTCATTTCACCTTCAGAGCTCTGCATGGAGTTCGCTGAAGCTTTCACTCAGATTGCATAGCAGTACAACTGCTCCCTTTGACCATCTTGTTTTCCTCCCTTCCCTTCCTTTCTGTGGGTGGTGATCCCAAGAACACTTCCCAAAAAAACTTCCTGTTACTAATCTCTACCTCAGAGTCTGTTTCCTGGGGAACCCAACCTGTGATACCATAGTTTTATTCACTCATTCACTGTTCCTAATTGGAAAGGAGTTATTTAATACATATCATGAAAAATAAAACTCAGTTATAATTAACATTATTGTTTTGGTCTACCCAATACTCTTTCTGTATCTTGGTAACATACTGCCCACTGGCCACAGAGGAATGTCCTATGCTAGGACAATCATAATACATCACCTTCCTAGCCACAGTGATGGATACAAGTAGTGTGCACATGACCAGGCTGGGACAATCATAATCCTTCCCTGATAATTTTTGTCCTGAAAGCTAGAAGAGAAAGCCCCCTTGCTTCTCAGATCATGGAAATGTTAAGATGTGACTCTAGGGATGCTGGGGACATATTTACTATCCATATGGAAAAGGACCCTCTGAAGTAGGAGAGAATAAAGCCAAGCAGAGGCGAGAAACAGAGAGTCCTACAAGCATCAAATCCCCTGTAGGTACCCTAGTTCCTGCTGCTCTTCCAATAATACTGTGAACTATCCCAGCATCCTTTTAATAATTTTTTTTCTTAAGCTAGTTTAAGTTGGGTTTTTCATTTATAATAGAAACATATCTTGCCTAACATACCTGTGTATTTTGTATTTCCATGAGCTGTCACCATCTCTAACCTAGTCCTACCCTATGTCTTAAATATTGAGGAATGGCTATGAAACAATCCACTCCTCTGCCCAATTCCAGCATGCCGAACTTGTTATGACTCAACTTATACTGAAGACAATATATGTCAAAATGTGTCGTAAGCTCAAGAAAGGGTCGGAAGGATTATATAAGAAAAATAAAGGAGGGGGAAGAGAAATAAACGACACAATTTTGCCTTTAAGAAGACTTCATTCAAATGCAAAATTCCTGTGATTCAATCTCACTTGCTATTCTAGAATAGATGTCTATCCACCAATTAAATCTTGAGCACTTACTTTTTTTTTTTTTGACAGAGTCTCACTGTGTTGCCCGGGCTGGACTGCCGTGGCGTCATCCTAGCTCACAGCAACCTCAAACTCCTGGGCTCAAGCAATCCTTCTGCCTCAGCCTCCCGAGTAGCTGGGACTACAGGCATGTGCCACCATGCCCGGCTAATTTTTTGTATATATTTTTAGTAGTCCGATTAATTTCATTCTATTTTTAGTAGAGACGGGGTCTCGCTCTTGCTCAGGCTGGTCTTGAACTCCTGAGCTCAAACAATCCACCCGCCTCGGCCTCCCAGAGTGCTAGGATTACAGGCGTGAGCCACCGCGCCCGGCCATAAATCTTAAAACATTATTTATCTATGATTATATTGCCTTTCCAGTTACATGTGTCAATGGAAAAAAAAGCCAACCTCTAAAATAATTTTAAAGAGATTTATTTACTCTGAGCCAAATTTGAGGACCTTGACCCAGTGCCACGCCCAAGAAGCCTTGAGCAAGTGGACTCGCTGTGGCTGGGTTACAGTTTGGTTTTATACATTTCAGGGAGACAGGAGTTACAGGTAAAGTCATAAATCAATACGTGGGAGGTATATATTAGTTTGGCCGGAAAAGGTGGGCCATCTCGAAGTGGGGGCTTACAGGTTATAAGTGGGTTTAAAGATTCTTTGACTTGTAATTGGTTAAAGGCATGAAGCTTTGTCTAAAGGCTTGGAATGTTTTAACATAAGGAGCTGTTTACCAGACATAAGCCACCTGACATATATTCATCGTGTAAATTGAGGACCTGCAGGTTTGTCTTGCATACTCTTAGGCCTGTTAATGGGTTACAAAGGATGTCCCCAAGAAGGGAGGGAGGCATGATGAGGCATGTCTGACCCCCCTCCTCCTGGCAGGCAATTTAGTTTTAGGATATTCCTTTGGCCACGAGGGGGTCCATTCAGTCAGCCAGTGGAGGGGTGAGCCTTAAGATTTTATTTTACTTCACACATGATTATACTTGTGTCTATACTTGATAACCTAAAAGATATCTCAAAAGATAAGAACTGGCTTTTTTAAAATAAATTTTTTATTTTAGAAGTTACAGATCTAGAGAAAAATTGTGAAAATAGATTTCTCATAGAACCTACACCCGGTTTGCCCTCTTACTACCATCTTACATTAGTATGATGCATTTGTCACAATTAATGAACCAGTATTGATACTGTAGGCGTGAGGGGAAACTCACCCTTTCCCTAGAAAGTTTGCTGAAACATCAACTCACAATTAAGGCAGATATATAAGAGAAAGGTTTATTTACTAATACCATGTGCATGGGGAGAATCACAAGGGTGGTTACCCAATAGCCGAATGAAGTTCAGATATTTTTATACATGCCTTTTAGAGGGGAGGGGGGGAAATGAGGAGTATAGGTAGATAAGGGGTTGCTAGGGAGGATGACTGGGTGGGGAAACAGACTGACTTATAAATTAACCTGAGAGACAGGTAGTATGTTTTAAATGATTTGGATTAGGTCTGGTTGCATTCTTGATCTTTTTTCCTGTAATATATTGAGATGACAGGGAAAGGAAGGGAAGTCAGTTGCCCTCTTTCTTCTTTTGATCTGGTCAGTCCTGTTTATGCAGATAAAGGGAAAGCCCCCTCCAGTGCTTTGGTGACCTTCGGGGGCCTGCAATTCAAAATATTCTTTATACCAAGGAGTCATATTTTGGGGTGAAATTTCCTGAGCTCCTTCAATATTTATCATTAACTAAAGTCCATACTTTATTCAGATTTCCTTAGTTTTTACCTAATATCCTTTTTCTGTTCCGGGATCCCACCCAGCATACCACATTACATTTAGTCATCATGTCCCCTTACACTTCTTTTGGCCATGAAAGTTTTTCAGATTTTCCTTGTTTTCAATGACCTTGATAGTTTTGAGGAGTACTGGCCAAGCATTTTGTAGAATGTCCCTCAATTGAGTTTTGTCTGATGTTTTTCTTATGATTAGACTGGGGTTATGAGTTTTTCAGAGGAAGACCACAGAGTGTTATAATCCTGACATCATATCAAGGATGTCAACATATTATCACTGTTGATATTAACCTTCATCACTTGGTTTAAGGAATTGCCTTTTACCTTAATTTGTTTAATGCCTAGCTCAGAAATATGTATAGGAGAGCACTTATATACTGTCTTGAAGCTATCTGGATTGGACTCAGAAAGAGGGAACCATCAAAGTAACAACGAAAAAAGAAATCCCCTGGGGAAGAGTAGAAAGAAGATTGGTCAGCCGTGTCATTTACTAGATGTATGACTTTGGGCAAGTTATTTCTGCTCATCTGTGAAATGGAATAATGGTACCAAATAGTTTTTAAGCATCTGTTGAGAAAATATATATGTATACATTTTATACAATATTATACTCTTCGATCTGTCAGAATCCCATAAAAAAATGAAAACACTCTTGGAAAAAGTAACATCTTAAGCAGTTAACATCACTTTATAGAATACTTTTCAACTGCTGGCTGAGCAGAGCAAGGCCAATATAAGCTGAGGAAAGGAGAGATGGAAGGCTCATTATTGCTAATCATTTCCCATTTTGCTTTGTTTCCTTTTGCCAAAGTCTGCTTGTCACCTGAGAGTGGAGGGGATTTCTTAGGTCTTCTGAAGCTAGAGCTCAAGTTTGACATGAAGTATTAATAATTTTAGGGTTGTTTTTCTGTACATGCATCTATGAGAAAGAAATCATAATTCCTTGAAGGTTCAATAATTTTTCCAGGCTGCTGTAGGATCATTAGGCATGTAACTATTTTTGAACTGGACAGGAAGCATACAATAATTATTCAAAGATAAGTTTTCCTGCCTCAAAATCATACTACTCTGATTTGAATACAAATACCGCAGTTTTTCCATTCTTGAAGTTTTATGCTCATTTCCATGAGCCTGAGGTCTGAAAAATAAACCTCCATCCTTTCCTTAAACAGGATAGAGCCAGTAACTTTTTATTTTTCTATGTATGAAAAAAGGAACCATGCAAAGAAAAACAAGAGGCGGGGCTTTCTCTGCATCGCTGAAATTAACATTGAACATATGGCAACAGTTAGCCTGCTATAATGCAAAGAGCAATGGTGTTTAGAGTCCAGTGATCTGGATTCAAGCCTAATTCTATTTCAAACAAGATATGGGACTTTGAGAAAGTTTCTGAACACCTTTGTGTCTTGGATTCCTCATCTGTAAAACTATACTGTTGATATTAGACTAGCCGCGCAAAAACAATTTGTAAGGGAGCTATTATTTCTAACCCAGAATGCATTCGTTGTCAGTAACAGTGCATTAGTTACCATTCATTGAGGACAGCTGCTGGACTTTCTCTTCAAAAGCCCAGTTGAAGCAAAAGAAGCGGTGCGTTTAAAACCAGGAGCCAACTACATTCCAAATTCTTTCGTTTGTGAAAGCAGGAACCTTGGAAACGAAGGTGGGACCACCCCTCTCAGTCCTAAAGCATGGTTCCTCCAGCTTTTCTCCGTAATGGTTGGGACACTGCTATTTTATAGTCTTTGTTGTTGCTGTTGTTTTCTTTCCACACCGTTAGCACAAACGAGAAAATTCCCTTCCAATGAAGCAAGTACAAAACCTTTCTAGGTGTGGGTTTCTGGCTGCAGCTCACCTACTGTTTTCCCTATTGTTCGGTCGCAGCCCCAGACGTCCCTCTTCGAGTCCAGCAGGTAATAGCAGCTAGGACTCCCAACCCAGGTGCAGGAGAAATCCCAAACCGCCAAAATTTACAGCATCCTACTCAACAGAGAAAACCCTCGCGCGATAAGACCGCAAGGGGGCTAGAGGAAGCCCACTTTCTCGCGAGAAGAGGGGATGCCAGCAGAAACTAGGAAATGGCCCCCTACGCGACCCGGTCCAGCCAGTGGGCGGGGCTAGGGTAAATCCACCCTCTTCCGGCTCCTTTCCCCGCCTCCCAACCCTGAGGTGTTGGGCTCGGGGTGCGGGCAGTTGGATTTTCCAGGTTCCCTTGGGCCGGCGCCGGGTCAGGTTCAAAGCCTTCGGAACCCGCTTTGGCCTGATTTCAGGAGGGGGGGCGGGGAGGGACCTGCGGCTTGCGGCCCCGCCCCCTTCTCCGGCTCGCCGGCGAGCGGATAAGCCCGCCTCCTCCTTCAGCCAGCCCTGGGGCCGTGTACCCCGGGCAACTCCAGCCGAGGCCTGAGCTTCTGCCTGCAGGTGTCGGCGGCGAGGCCCTAGGGTACAGCCGGTTCGGCCCCATGGTGGGTTTCGGGGCCAACCGGCGGGCTGGCCGCTTGCCCTCCCTTGTGCTGGTGGTGCTGCTGGTGGTGATCGTCATCCTTGCCTTCAACTACTGGAGCATCTCCTCCCGCCACGTCCTGCTTCAGGAGGAGGTGGCCGAGCTACAGGGCCAGGTCCAGCGCACCGAGGTGGCCCGCGGGCGTCTGGAGAAGCGCAATTCGGACCTCTTGCTCTTGGTGGACACGCACAAGAAACAGATCGACCAGAAGGAGGCTGACTACGGCCGCCTCAGCAGCCGGCTGCAGGCCAGGGAGGGCCTGGGGAAGAGATGCGAGGATGACAAGGTAAGAACGAGCTCTTTCTCCTTAACGCCCGTATTTTCTTTCATCTCCGGGGTGGGGGTTGTTTGTCCGCCAGCGGTTTCCTTATCCCTTTCAGGATTGCTGCCCTGGAGGCTCCCCTCATCGCCAGCAGCCCTGTTTCTGTCAGACTTTTCCCGGTTTATCAGTGCCACATTCTCTGGTCTCTGCCAGACAAAACTGACTATAAGTTCTTGGTTCTCAAGAGTGGCCTGTGTGTGGATGCCGCCTTTTTTCCAGACCCAGCTGCTGAGCTGGCAGTAGTAGTCGTCTGGCCTATGTATGTGGCCGCCGTCCGTTCACAGACACACAAATCTGGAGACTGCCGGGTTTGGTGTGGGTATTGTTGTCTCATCCTTATTCCGTGCACCCTGATTAATATTAATGTCTTTATTTAAAGAATGGGGCCTCTTCTAGTCACCATATATTTTTTAAGCAGTATGACTTTTAAAATCTCTGTAAGATGATGTATTATTAATTAAAGAATGAGATATTACTGCCTTTTTGTGATCAAAATGCTAAGATAGATGGGCCCTGGAACCATATATGAGCCACACTTGTGACTTGGACATAGTTGATCCATAATTATCTACTCAATTTGAATTGTTAATGGAATTAGCCAAAAGGGTAGAATCTAAAAATAAGTTCTAAGCAACAGAGTCACATGTCAGTGACCTCATTGAAAGAAATAAAATGAATTTCTGTATGATTAAGTAGCTATTAGGATTGGTGTGGGTTTTTTTGTTTTTGTATTTAAATTTGTCTTTTTTTAGAGACAGGGTCTCACTCTGTCCCCCAGGCTGTAATATAGTGGCGCAATCATAGTTCACTGCAACCTCCAACTCTTGGGCTCAAGTGATCCTCCTGTCTCAGCCTCCTGAGTAGCTAGGACTACAGGAATATGCTACCATGCCCGGCTAAGAGCTGGTGTTTTATGCAGATAGAAAGCCATACAAAGTTTTCAATCTAAAAAGTTTAACACTGAATTATAACTATACCTGCTACTAAATTGTCTTTGTTTTCACCAGCTTATTGGTGGCTATATTAATAAGTTTATGACCTATGCAACTTCTGTTGGTATAGTAGAGTTGTAAAATTTCTGGGTGGGATAGTAGATGCCTTTCTTTCTTGACCCTTCTTTGGTAATCTTCATATTTTTGTGTGTAAATTCCCATTATAATTACAGGTTTTTACTTTGCACATCAAAATCACTTATAGCAAATTATTATAAATCAAAATCTCTATGAATTCCCAACTTCCCTATTATCATCAGCCTCTACTTTGCTTCTTATTTCGCGAAAATTGAGGCCCTCAGTTAAGTGTTTCTCTGTAACCCCTCTTCACTATGATAGCCATCCTCTGAGAGGGGCAAGGGCTCAGTACATTTATGCACATACTACACACTGAACTCTGAAGACTAAAAAACTCTTGGGTGGAGTAGGTAGAAATCCATGAAATTTTGGAGTGTTAAAATGATGTCGTCGTATATAAGCATTACTATTCAAATCCTTCTCTCCAATCTCAAAGGAAAGATAAGTCTTTTCTAGTAATTAATACTCTGGATTCCATTTCTCCCATCTATTAGACTGTTATTTGTTTTTTGCTTTTGTTTTTTTAAAGAGACAGAATCTCACTATGTTGTCCAGGTTGGCTGCAAACTCTCAGCCTCAATCAATCCTCCACCTCAAGCTTCTTAGTAGGTGGGACTACAGGGTGCACCCTACCCATGCCTGGGTCCACTGGAGAGTTATTATCAGCCTTTTTCTGTTCATTTTCACTTTTTACCTTCAACCAGGTGTAGATGTCCCCTGTTCTAATTTTTTTATTCTTCTCCATATTCCCTTTGCCCAGTCAACCAATTTCTCTTTTTACTTTCACTGCTAAACTCAAATTATTAGTGGTCTATAAATGTTCTATCTGCTTCCTCTTTTTTCATCCCCATCCTTATCTTTTAAAATTCTGTCTGCTGTCCTTCTTTCTTCTCCTTTTCTGAAGCTATTCTCTTGAAGGTCACAAGTGGCAGTCTTCCTAGTCAAATCCAAAGAATATTTTTATTCTCATTGCGTTTAATCTCTCAGTAGTTTAGTCCTGTTGATTGTCTCTAGCTTTTTGGAAACTATCTCCTTTCTTGCTTCTGTAATATTTGATTCTCCAGATTCTCTTCCTACCTTCTTTATATTCTTTGCTTGGATTTTTTTTTTTTTCTTTCCAACCTCCTAATAATGGACTCTATTCTTGGGCCTTTGCTCTCCCCATACAGCAGTATTCCCCGAAGTGGTGTTAAACAGAATACTCTTCTTGGAATTGTTCATAGGTGGTCAGGAGTAAAAAGGAAAACCTTTTTGGAGGGAAATGTTAAGTGGAGGTCATCATGCCTGCTAGCACGTAAAGGCTCTGAGAAATCCATTAGTAAAGAAGCCGGTTTAGTTTTGTTTTGTTTAGTTTTGTTTAACTCAGTCTTTTTCAGTTTATTTTATCAGAGGTTACTGTTTTCATGGCCTACCTGTTATCATGGTTCAGAATAATGTAGCAAAGCACACTAGTTTGGGAAATATTGCGCTAGGTATTGTAACTACTCTTAAGTGTTTGGTTAGTATTCTATGCAGCTGGCTTACAAATCTATCTCTTACTTGTACGCCAGTTCTATATTTTGAGCTAGCTATAACATCTTTGTTGGGGAGCTTGTGAAGGTATGTTCTTGGCATTAATGAGGAGGCTCTGAGCTGTTTAATGGAAAGGGTAGTCTTGGTCTCTGTCTCTTCTTTATACCCCACATCCAGTTTCCTCTATCATTAACATGTTATATTAGCATGGTGCATTTGTCACATTAATGAACCAGTATTGATATATTATTATTAAAGTCTATATTTTATTCTAATTTTTTCAGTTTTTTCCTAATGTCCTTTTCCCTGTTGTAGGATCTCATCCAGGGTACCACATTACATTTAGTTATCATGTCTCCTTAAGTTTCTTTTCAGGCTTTCCTTGTTTTCCAGACTTTCTTTGTTTTTCATGACCTTGGCAGTTTTGAGGATTACTGAAAAGGTGTTTTGTAGAGTGTCCCTCAATTGGGATTTGTCTGATTCTTTCCTTAGGATTAGATTGGGGTTATGGTTTTTGGGAGAAAGACTGTGGAGATAAAGGGCAAATTTCATCACATCATATCAAGGGTACATGTTTCAAAATGACTTGTCACTGTTGATATTAACCTTGATCCCTGGCTTGAGGTAGTGCTTCTCATGTTTCTCCACTATAAAGTTACCCCCTTTTAAAAAAACTCCTTCTATACTGTATGCTTTGGAAGAAAGTCTTGTACAGCCTCACTTAATGAGTGAGTAGTTATGCTCTTTCTCCTTAAGGGCAGAGTACCTACATAAACTATCTGGAATTCTTCTGCATGGGAAATTTGTCTCTTCTCCTTCATTTATTAATTTATACAATCATTTATTTATATCAGTATGGACTCATGGATATTTATTTTATATTTTGGATTATAATCCAGTGTTGTTTTATATATTTTATTGCTCAAATTGTTCCGGCTCTGGCCAATGGGGAGCTCCCTCAGTTGACTTCTGTATCCCTTGCTTACTTTTATAGTGCCAAAAAGTACAGAGGATTTCCACATACCTCATACACAGTTTTTCCTTACTTTTTGGCACTATAAGATGCTCCAGGCTCATCTTCTGTATTTCCTGCTCTAGTCCTAGAGTCAACCATTTCTCCAAGGAGCCCTGGTTCCTTTTATTGGAGAATGATATTAGAAACCAGGTCTGGATGCTAGATATGCTGGTTGCTACTGTCAGACTATCTTTGGAAATCCAGGAATCCCTTCTCCAAAGGAATCAGAAAGGTGATATGTGACATCTTCCTATTTATTATGCTATTCTTCCATTTTCAATCTGTTACCTGAAATTCTTTAAGGGAGCTTGAAATTGCCCCCGTCAGTGTCCAGGGAAGTAAGAAACAAGCCCCACTTCTCTGGAATTCCCCCAAATTTACCTTATTTTTTGTCTTCCCTCTAAAGAGTTTTAGCCTGGAGGGGTATATTGTTTGCTTGGGCTGCCATAACACACTACCACAGACCAGGTGGCTTAAACAACAGAAATTTGTTTTCTCACAGTTCTGAAGGTTGGAAGTCCAAGATGAAGGTGCGAGCAGGGTTGGTTTCCTCTGAGGCCTCTATCCTTGGCTTGCAGATAGATGGCTGCCTTCTTGCTGCTTTATCTTCATCCCTCTGTGCATGTGCATCCCTAATATCTTGTCCTCTTATAAGGACATCAGTCATGTTGGATTAGGGCCCCACACTAATGGCCTCATTGTAACTTAATCACCTCTTTGAAGACCTTATCTCCAAATATGATTGCATTCTGAGGCCCTAGGGGTTAGGACTTCAACATATGAATTGGGGGGGAACACAATTCAGCCTGTAATAGGGGAGATCTATGACACACATGCACACACACACCACATACTGCCTTTTTCTTCCTTCTTTCTATGTGAAAAGTCCTTTCTTTTATTTTGGGGGTATAGAGTATTTCTCTTATCCTAACTTGGATTCTTTTTTATTTTAATTTATTTAGAGATGAGGTCTTGCTATGTTGCCCAGACTGGAGTGCAATGGCTATTCACAGGTGTGATCATAGTGTACTACAGCAGTGATCTTCCTGGTTCAGCCTCCTGAGTAGCTGGGACGACAGGTGCGAGCTACCGGAACCAGGCTCCTAACTTGGATTCTTGCTACCTGTAGCTTATGCTAAAGCTATGTGGTCCAGGTGGCCCAAGTTAAGCTTGTGATTGATAAAAGGAGCTGTTAGAATGTAGAAAAAGTCCTCCTCAGGTCTGGCATGTTGGCTGACGCCTGTAATCCTAGCACTTTGGGAGGCTGAGAAGGGAGGATTGCTTGAGGCCAGTTTAGACCAGCCTGGGCATCATATGGAAACTTTGTCTCTACACAAAAAAATTTAAAAACTGGCTAGGTGTGGTGG